CCGGGCCCCATGGGCGAAAGCCCGGCCACCAGGCGCTCGCTCACGGGCCCCAACCCCAGGCCTGGCTCCAGGGTGGGACCCCGGTAACCCTCCGGGCCGGGTACTCCGACTCTTCGTTTTAACCGCCATGAAAGATCCTTCGAACCGTTCTTTGTCTCACCCTTCACCTAAGACCAATTTGTCATGGGAGACCCTACCAGGGGCACTAAGTGCCCCAGACAACATAGCTCCTAGGATCATTAGGGCACTCAAACTCCTCCACCACGATAAGGTGACGGTTTAAGGAGGAGAGAATCAGTACCATTTCAGGTAAGTTCCAGTATTTATCTTTACGTACAACAAATATTATTGTGTTGTCTGTAGTTTCAAATCCATGGATCTAGCTACGGATGCAGTCCAAATTGATGAGGACCAAGCAAACAACTTACTCAACAGTGTGTGAGTTGCAATGTCTTCTTATCTAGGGGTGGGCAATATAAACGATATAAGGTAGAAATGATATAAAATTGGGTAATTTTACGGCCCCCAGCTCGTCTAGGAGATGATGTTAAAGGGGGCGTAAAGAAAGATATGTGAATTACCGGACAAAACCAAGATTTACTCTCTTAGGAGTTTATTAACTAAAAAACACTGCTTTATGCAGGCTAAGACAAAATGAATACAAAACCAAAAGGACGTCCCACTGGGGAATTAACAATACTAAACAGAAGGATCATCCAATACAGGGTAAATAACAATACTATTAATAAACACAAAACGCCGGTACTAATCCGGGAAAGTAAAGGAATGAGACAAACACAAAAGGCTACACCAAAAGGGTGAGCTGAACTCTTTAACGAGTATTCTAATGGAGACAAAAACGAGCTCTGGCTACTAGGAAGTGCACCACACAGGTAATCAAAACGAAGACTTTAACGTCTGGTTTGCTAGGAGGGAAAAAGAGGAACACTCGCTTTAACACCAGGCCTCTGCTAAGCTTCCCTCCTCGAATGACAGAGGGAGCTGCCTTTTATAGGAAGCTCCCTGACTGAGAAGATTAGCGACACCTGGCTCAGCTAGAGCCAGGTGAACAGGTAGGAGCTCTGAGGCCACCTTGTGGCCACAAAACAGACAACGTCTGTAACAGGTAATGATAGTTTTTGGCTATATCGCAATACGGCGATATTGTGATAACACATGACGTCACTAAGATGTGCACCCTGCTGACAATGGGACAACAGAATGGCGGTGACTGCAAGCATCGAGTGGGCGGAGGAGGAGGCCTATATGCCTCAAGTGGCATATATTTGCCACATGAGGATATCTAAAAGCATGTCAATTTGACATCTATAAACAGATGAAAAAATATATCGCAATATATATCGTTACTGCACATGCTTCAGATTATATCGCAATATAGATTTGAGGCCATATTTCCCAGCCCTATTCTTATCTACACTCTTTTTTTAAACTCCAAAGTCTTAAAACAATATATTAATTCTACTTTTATTTATTGTTTTCATAACAGAATAGAACTGTTATGAAAACTTTGTCAGGCTGACGAAGTTTGCAGCCGCAAACAAAACGTTGCAGGTAAATAAAACCCTTCTATGTTTTAAAAAGAACTAAAAGATGGAATTGTTGTTTTATCCTTGTTCACAGGCTGGGATCCTAAAGGGAATTTCCATCCTACTTGTGTGGCTGAATGACATCTTCAACCAATTTTGGTACATTTGTCAGAAAGCACAACATCGTGATATGTTTAATGTAAGTATTGTGACATCTTTTGGACAACGAGACAACAATGCACATTGACATAATTACCTTTCTTTTCATAATAGTGCCAGCTCTCGTGTTTCTGTTTGTGAGCGCTTCTGTCACATGTAAAGTTTTCAAATAAAACTTATTTTTTCTGTTAGGACATGTGGGTGGGTGTGCTTCACTATGTCACAGGGAAGCATGAATGCACCCGTGGCAAATGTGACCATGGACCACTTGATGCAACGACCAGTGATAAAGAGCTCATGGTGCCATGATCTCCACCACACGAGGCTCTTCAACGAATCATGTTCAACAGACACTGGTTGAAGGATGTCACCAATCTGACCTTTAGGCATATTAATAACATTTTCATAAGCAAAAAAGCTAAAGTGTCAATATCAAAGCTGAAAATTTACATATAGAAATGACAATTGTGGGTGAAAAGGCAATCAAAAGTGTGATTCCTAATAATCTATAAAGTTGTAGCTTTTGTTTTTTTACAGGTCAACTTCAGAACTGGAGAGTTTCCAGAATTGCATTCTCATGTAATCTATGTATGATCTAATGCTGCTGTTCTCCTCTCCATAAAGGCCCCAGCTACGTGAAGCATCAAGAGACAGGAATGACTTCTTTCATGCACACAGATTTATTAGAAATTAAGAAAAAATACTATGTACAAATGCAAATAACAGAACTTTTTTGTACATAAATAAAAATAAATATATTGCACAAACTGTTTGTTCATTTTTGGGTGAAAATGCTGTCTTCAGCTAAAGTTATTTTGAGGTATTGTGCTGTTTTGGAACTACTGTAGTTGTAGATAAACGGTTTGGATTTTTGGGTTAGGGTGCCCTCAGTCAGGAAGATGGTGTCCTGGCGTCTCTTGCCGAAACTCCAGGATATCCAGCATCACCCCTGGAAGACGGGTCACCACTCTCTCGAGAATATAATCTCTCTCCTCCTGGCTCAGGTGTTGTAAAGCTGTCTAGAAATTAAAGAGCATATGTTTACATGACTAGATTCATATCTCCAGTGAGTGATGTTTTCGTTTTTGGCATCTATTATTTTATTTTATTTTTTTCACAAATGGCTACAACCAACCTGCATCTCAGCTATACCGGCAGCTCTCAGCTGTGCAAGCCGGTCTCGGTCCTCTTCTTTGAAAGCTGTTCGCTGCCTACCCCAGCGCCCTGGTCCTCTTGAAGGAGCTCTGGACCTCAACCTGCTGCCCTCACCCCTTGAGCGTGTCCTTCCCTGACCCTCGGAGCGACCTTTTCCTCTCCCCTTTCCTTTAGCCCCTGGTCTCAGACTTTCCCACGACACATCAAAGTCTGTGGCAGGCTCGGGCACACTCAATCTGAACTATCTTCCATCACTGCTTCCAATATGAATTCCTGAAAATCAATGACAGTAATGATAAAAATGACTATTACCCTGTAGGTCTTGTTGATATTATGATTTTATTTTGATGCATTTTTGAACTAAACATTGATTTATGTTCTTATTTACATTGTTGTGATGCCTGTCCTGTAATGAAATTGGTTTCACAAATGATGTCAGTGACTTGAAATTGGATGTTCTTACATGATGTATAAACAATAACATTAGCTTGTTAGTAAGCTTAGTGCAAAATAATAACTGTAATTGGTCTAAAAACATCAGAAATCACCTGCAGCCACAAAGCCTTATGCTGATAAAGTAGCATCATGTTACTGTCTTGCTAACCAGTCACAAAACTGGCTTATGAATATTTCATAGGAAGGAGCACTTGCTTTACATCACGAGTGTCATGGCTAAATTAAAATGCTAATGTTGTCATGGAATTTTACAAATATTAGACTAAAGTAACAATGTTACTTACTTCATCGCTCGACACGGTGTCTTGTTCGAGCCGCGCTCTGGCCGTACATCACTGTAACTTTTTTTTTCTCGTGAAGAGTTTGTGCGCGCTCTCGTGCCAGGCTGCAGTTACTCACAGCGCCGAGTGCGTCGCTAATGAGTTTCGTTTCTTCATCCTGCCCCATGCTCCATTAAATGTATTATTTTCAGTGAATTTGACCTACATGTTGATCTACAACTGATTTGTTAGATTTCCAAGTCCCTCAATATTAAACTCGTTCCTACACCCTTGTTACATCCTCTCTAGTCTCTCTTCCCATCTAACACTTTATAAATAAACTTCACTGAACTAAGAACATCAGGAGGGTAATTTAATAATTTGTTCCTCCAGAGAACTGATTACTAAATTCCAGTAACAGATGAATCAGTTTTCTCTTTGTCCCTAAAAACCTGCAGCTGTGTGATTCCAGCTAAATCTGCTCTGTTGATCGTTTCCCTCAGATCTTCAACAGTTTCTCTTTCCACTGTTATAAGTCTCATTCTGTCACCTTTTGACCTGAACCTGTGATCCACACCTTCATCTCTTCCTTGTTGTTGCTGGTCCAACTCCAGTCCAGTAGGTGGCGCAAACGCGCCTTCACGCTGCCACATAACCGGAAGCTGTTATCAGAGCTAGCTTGTTGTTAGCTACCAGCGCTAGCTTGCTGTGCTGGTGTGTGAGGGGAACCTCTGAGGCTCTGCAGCAACAATGTCTTCAGCTCAGTCTCTGAGAGAGGTGATCAGAGAGCGGCTAACTGCTGCTGCTGCAGAAATCTTCTCCGAGTTTGAAAAAAACCATCGTCCGCTACGAGGAAGAGATCGATCGTCAGCGCAGACTGCTGGAGATCAGCTGGAAACCACAGATCAACTTACATAGAATAGGTATAAAACGGCAGCGGGACTCATGTGGTTTTACTGAGGACACAATCTCAGGACAGTCTGCTTGGATCCGTTTGCTGTTCTGAAGCTTTTTGACACAACTGAGCTGAAATCAGTCTGCGGTAAACTTTGTTCCACTTTAGAGAAAAAAATCAATAACATTTCAGGGATTTTAGGAAGTTTTCATTTTCGGGAACTCCAATAAATCAGTTTAAAAGAGACAAACTTTAAAGACTTGGTGAAGGTTTCCAGCTGATGTTCTACAATCAGAGACTTGTTAAACGAGTCAGTCTGACACACACACACACACACACACACACACACACACACACACACACACACACACACACACACACACACACACACACACACACACACACACACACAGGCTAAGAGTTCATTCTTTTCTAAAACATCTTCAGATGCATCAGATGGTTCAAGTGAAGTGTGCTTTCTTATTGTCACATGAATCAGCTTTTTGTTTGGTCTGTTTGTCTGTCCAGAACTCCCACTGCATTATGTCAGGACAGATGAGGAGGTTCTGACTGACCAGCAGCTCTGGAACCAGGAGAGGACCTCCAGTTTGGAGCAGGAACAAGCAGAACCTTTACAGGAGGGACCAGAACCTCCACAGATGAAAGTGGAGCATGATGAGCCAGAACCTTTGCAGATTGTAGAACAAGAGGAGCTCTGCATCAGTCAGGATGAAGAGCAGTGTGTACTGAAGCAGGAGACGGTGACCTCCCTTGTGACTCCTGCTAGTGAGGAAAGAGACCACGATGAAGCAGAACCAGACAGACACCAACTCCTTTTGTCACTGTTTCCTGCGGCTGAGATCAGAGCTGCTGTTGCTCCGGGGTCAACAGGTGAGTGGGGGTGCCATGTTTGTTTTCCTTACTGTGATGTCACAATAAGGGACTTCTTGAAACTGCTCATTTTAGGCAAATCAGCTTTATTTTAGGGCTGCCTTTTATGTGATGACTTTAGTCAAATAAAAGGCAAATCTGCAGCGAGGCTCCTAAATGGAGCAAACGAAAGAGCTCACGTCACTCTTATTCTAACGTCTCTGCACTGGTTACCCGTTAACTTTAGAGTTAATTTTAGAATCCTGACTACATTTTAAGTTTGGATCTAACGCTGGTGCTGCGGTAAAAAAACAAAAAAACTGCATTCCACTATAATTGGTTATGGCTTGCTTCTTCAATGAATCATGATCGTATTTCGATACATTGATTGTAATGTTTTGTAAGTGGTGACAATTAGTAAGTAAACCTACCAAATTATAAGTAAAACACATAATTTCTTGCCCAAAATTCCCATAATGCAATGCAAGAAACATTAGCATACTGAAATATAAATGACTCATGACTGGAACATAATAGAGTTATCACTGTGTGAAAATGTAACCTCGCGGTTATTGTGACCAAAGTCATCATGGTTTTCATTATTATCGCGGTATTTTTTTTAACGTGTAAACTAACTAAACCCTCTATATCAGGAAAATAATGTCATCAGTTTGTGTCTAAAATTTGTTATTTTGTAATCATGTTGTTTGTTTACATTTTTCCCCTTTGTCTTTAAAATACCAGAATTTTCCCATAACTTCTTATTTTTTGTCCGTTTGATGTCATCATTTTAAAAATATGAGATCAGATTATACTTATTACTCAATTAGCATTCTATTCTCCCTTTCCCATATCCGGGTCGGTAGCGGGATGGTGCCTGTGCTTGGATTAGCCGCGGTCACCGACCACGTTTTCAAACTTTTCTCTACTTACCTTCTCCTTGTCGCCTTGCTTCTGTCCGCGATCCTCTTTGGTAGTGTCCCGGCTACCGTCTACCAGACTCTTGTCCTTCCGTTTGTCCGCAATCGCCCAAGATGCACCGAATAATTACCTCCATGTTTGTTTACGTGAGCAGCGCGCTGGCCCGGAGTCAAACGCTGATTCCTACCTGAACGCCTCCAGTGATGTTTATCTGATCCCGGGAAAACATCGGAGGAAAAGGGGTAAACGAGCAGGAGTCCAGGTGAGATTAAGACTTCTCTCAAAGTGTGGTTTATCTCAGTGCTGATTGGCTCGAATAGAATTCTCACGGGGTGGAGTTATTTGCATGCGAGAGGCATGGGCGGCTCCAGGAAATTTTATCAGCTGTTGCTGTACAGTTGTTCGTCGGTGTTTGGGGTTGCTGCCCCCTGTCGGTGCGTCCTGAAAAGCGCGGGGGTGGTGGGGGGCAAAACTCTGGAGAAACCAGTAACTCTGTCCCCTAGCCAATCAGCATCCAGAATCACGATATTGGCCCAACTCTGCCTTGCCAGGTACCTCAATGGAGCATGGACTAAAAATAGGGGAGAAAGTACAGGAAAAATACCGAACCATGCCTGTGGAAACTAGTCGGGCCGATCTGCCCCAGTCTGAGTTACTCTGACTCTCTGGGAGCTGGTGGGATTTCAGGTCGCGTTGTACAGGATAGCATGAATTAAGGTTTGTGAGGATGAAGCAGGAGTTGAGAGGTTTTTTTCCTCTATACTCCTTCATTGCCTGATCATAAGACACTTTGTGAGCAGTCTTCAAATTATTGACTACATTTATAATTTTGCACTGTGGTGCAGCTACGACAGCGTAGCAAAGTTTACACACCATTGTTACTTGATCCACGTCTGACTCCTCGAACCCGTGATGTTTCCACGTCACCGAATTCGTTTGAACTATTTTCCACGAACATCTTTCTTTTTGCATCCATTATCCTCTCCTCTCAAAACAACTTCTGCTCAAGTCTTCTCACTTGTTTTACATGTGTTTGCATCTCGCACTAAAATGGAAAGTGGTTGGAGCTGTGAGAGTTGCGCTTGATTTGCCACTCAGAGCAGCGCAAGAGTAAGCATGAGGGAGGAGCTAACAATCGGCTCAGTCAGTTTTAATGATCATTTAAAACCCAGATTGTAATTGAGATCAAAATTTGAATTACTGAGATGCATTTTAGATGCATCAGATGATTACAACTTAGTGGTGTATATATATATATATATATTCTTTTTGTAATTGTAATGTCACTCAACGTTTTCCAGTTTTATTTTAACCTGTCCAGAGCTTCCAAAGCTTAATTTCTGGGAAAAGTAGAAGGTTCTGACAGACCAGCATCTCTCTGTTTGTCTGGTGCAACCTGAGTGTAGATATTTAGGTGCACCATTGAGAAATTGAGTCACATTTGTGACCAGAATCATCCCATTCTAGAGCCCTGAACTTATGTTTATGTTTATGTATTTAGCAGACGCTTTCGTCCAGAGCGACTTACAAGTGATAATCGGCATATTGCCCTTGAGGCTAACAACAACAATAACAACAACTTGACATTAGTCATAAGCCCTTTTCAGATAGACATTCTGGAACATTTGCGGACAATTCAATCCGGTTTTTAACTGGAACTGTGTTTTCAGACACACCACTTTTGTACCGGAACTTGGCCTTTCGGCTGCGTTCACACAGCAGGGAAAAGTTCCAGAAGTCTGACGGCGGTGGCAGGCGGGTGGGGTGGTGGTGGTGGGGGGAATCGGACTCATGATAAGTAGAAGAAGAAGAAAATATCATTTTTATAGCCTCTCTCAAGATAAAAATTACGAGGTGCTTAAGCATAATTCTGCGCACACGAAGACGCATAAGAGACCTGGATGATGAAACTCAATGGTCAAAGGAATCACTGAAGCGGTGTGAAGCGCTCCGTCGCGCGTCTAGACGGTACCGTAGGAGGCGAGCTGCCGTGGTTCGCCGCATGCTACAGCAGCGAGCAACCTAGGTGCGCACAGCGTCCCCCGGTCCCCTCCTCCTCCCCCTCCCCCTTGTCCGGAACTCTACCTCACCAGTCTGAAGCAGCCACCCTGTCCGTAACAAGTCCAGACCTGTTACTAGGGGCTTCGTCCGGTAAAATTCCGGAACACGTTATCCGGATGTTTGTTTTCAGACACAAAGGTCTTACGGACAGAGTCCGGAACATTTCCGTTTTTCATGGCCTGTCTGAAGGGGGCTATAGAGAGTAGCAGGGGTGGACATTAACTTCAAACCCAACCGGCCAGCCGGACCGGTAACTCTGAAAATTTACCGGCCCCGCAGGTCAACTGCCAAAACGAGTCAAAATAACAACTGAACTGTTTTAAATGTAACAAACCTTTATTTTATACACATTCACAAACATAATAAACTTTTCAACCAGCACTGTGTCAGTCTCTGGCACCATTGTGATGCAGGCTGAATATTTGGCTAGTGGTGGACTAGTGTTATTCCACCTCAAAGTCCTTGTCAAGCTCGTCGTCATATTTCTTGCTCATCATGGAGAGCAAGCGGCCCTGACCCACGCACATGAAATCTTCCTCTGGCTCTGCGTCGTCCATCTCAGCAGCAGTGGAAGTCTTTCCATCCGTGAAATCAAGACGCCTTCGCCGTTGGACATCATGAAACCATATGTGTATAGCTGGCTTCGGGTAAAAGTTTTTAATGTCTGCCAACAGTAACAGCACCGACATGAGCTCGCCCACACTCTTCCCTGACAGGCTGGACCGCCAGTCACTCTTTATCATTTTCATGTGGTTGAAAGCTCTTTCACATTCAGCAGTAGATGCAGACAGGGTCAGCAGCAGGTCCACAAGCTGAAGAATGTTGGGGCACTCGTCAAAGTATCTTCTGTTCGGTTTGCACCATGTCACCTTCTTGGTGAACTCCAACTAGTCGGGCTGCTGATACACCTTGGATCGGAGTATTGTCCACTCGTCGGCAACTTTGTCTACCTGCACACCCGCATCTTCCAGGACAGGCTTGAAGTGCCCTACCAGAATGTCAACAGCTGCGTCTCCAAAGTCTGAAAAAAAACAATAAAAAAAATTTAATTATCAAAAAACCTTACTCTTTAAAAACCAAGGGGTGTCCTAGCATTACTTCTTCATTTAAAAAAATGTGCTGTCACCATATCAAAGTAAAATGAGGCAGTTCATAAATTGAAACAAAAAAACCAACCTGTCATGTTTACTTTGTCAGGCCAGAACCCAAAATCTGCAATGTTTGTGGCATGAAGTACCCCTCCTTTCACATGCCCAAATCGGTTCTCCATGTTGGCCACCAGGTCATCAATGAGATTCGGGTGTGATGACTGGAATGATCGACCGTCGCCCGAGAGTTCCCTTCCCTCAAAGGTCATCTTGTTCCCAAACGACTGTAGCATGGGACCAGGCCTACAAAGAGAAAGTAAAAGTATTGGTTAGTTTAACACAATATAGACTGCTATAAATTTTAACTATTAATATGTTTAGAATACTACTTTTTAACATTGTCTATTTCAGATACTGTTGATGGAGACTCCACCAGTGCAGTAGAAGTTCAAAACACAGACTGCTGAAATTTATATTTGTTATACAATGATTATATAAATGTTCACAAAGTTAATGAACATTTAATAGATGTCAAACTGTAAGGCCAAATATGTTTTATTTTAAAATGAAGGCTTACTTTCTCTTGTAAGTCAGCAGCACAGTCTTGGTTGACTGTAGGGCTTCATGCAATGCAGCCATCGTCACATTGGTCTTCTGCATCTTGCGTGACAGGTTGGAAAGATGAGCCAGGACATCAAACAAGAACCATGCATACTTCATCACGTCCAGGGATGTTGCAGCACGATAGTAGTTCCGGGCCTTGGCCTGCTGGTCACTTTGTACTCCGGTGGAATCTGGGGACTGTATCTGAAAAACAGCAACATGAAGACATTATTTATTTTATATTTGCATAAATAGAGCAGATTGCAAGCTTTAATGTGCACATTTAATAAAATACAGTTTTGCTTGCTGCTCATTTCTTTTTTGAAATTTGATCTACTTTATCAAGTG